TTGATATTCTAACAGACTTTTTAGAGCATATGTGAATTGTAGATATGAATGAGATCTACTTTTCATCATAATACTTTTTTTGGCCTATTTTTTTACTGATTATTTCTAAATATTTTTTTTGTAAAAGAGAAAAATGTTTTGAATGTTAATCTATACTCTACATTCTACAGTAAATAATCTAATTTTCTTTGATATGAAATGACAGAATAATAATCATTGGATAATGTCACGTTTATTTAACAGTAAAAGTTAGATGACAGAATAATGTGAGTATAAACTAACATTTTTTTTTTTTTATTTAAAAAATGACATGAAATAAATATAATAAATTTATGTATTTTGATTTTACAATCATTAATTGTCATTGTATTGATTTTACTATACATATTCGTATTCATTTAATGAAATTTTATTTCAAAAAAATTACTTTTTGATTGTTTAATGAATATTCATTTTGACAAGAAGAGAGAGTTCTAATTGTTCTTTTGAGAGATATTTTAAAAGATTATATATTTGGTATTTATCATATTAAACTGTATTATTTGAACACTATATAACATTTTGTTATCTTAGAATAAGAGAAAAAATATTTTATTATAGTATTCTAAATTGAAACTATCAAAAATATTATCACACTCCTACTACTTTTTATATTTAAAAAAAATTATGAAAATTTTAATAAAAAAGATGAAGTTAAAGGGAGTAATATAATAGAAAATTCTTCTCAAATACAAGTTTTCTATATTTTTATGTCAAAATTCTCACTTTTAATAGGACATCTGTTGTTTTTTATACGCTATATGCAATTTTAAAACAAAAAAAACAAAAAACTCAAAGTAATCAGAATAATTGGCAAAAACTCATAAAATAATGGTAATTATAATTAAAATTTTCTGACATTCAGAAAAAAAAAACAACAACCTGAAAATAGTCCCATGTGTCTCATTGTAAAAGATTCTTTCTTTTGTAGTAACACAACAGAAGATGTAAGTTTGACATTTTATCAACTTTTCGAAGTTATAACCGTCATGCTATGACCATGTCAAATTTTGGTTTTATACGACTATACGATTTACTTTCCATTGATTATTTTCTATTTTAATTAGGTTATTTTTTTCCATAGAAAAGAATAGAAAAATATGATTTTTGTCTATATAGATAGGATTTACTTTCTATTGATTATTTTGACGAGAAGAGAAATAATAAATAAGATTTATTTTCCAAAAAGAATATCATTAAGAAAAACGAGATCTATTCATTGTTTTGATGAGCATTGAAAATATCCCATACTCAACACCTTTCAGGAAAGCGGGAAATATCAATATGATCAACATGAGAATATTGCTATAATTTCATTAAATATTCAACCGTTATTACTTTATTTTTATCGACATTTTGGGGAGTGAGTATTCCCATATCATCAATTTGATTATCAATGGTTATCAATTTACCAGCAATCCATACGATAAAAAGTATCTTACGAAAACAAACGTCATAGAACTCGTCCATCACTTCCTCGATCAATTGAACAACTTCCATTTCGATTATCAAACATTTATTACAAGCCAACAAAAAGATGAATTGTTTTTTTTTGCTCTACAATGGATTACTTGGTGATATTCGTTCACTCATTTTTTTCATCGTATAATAATATTGTTTATGTATGACAACAAGAAAATTGGTATAGTGTGATGGTATATTTTATATATATCTATCAATTTTTTTTATCAAATGTATTCCGTTCATGCATATTATAATGGACTGTCGATACTATTCGTTTTCACATTACTTGCAAGGTAAACTCGAAAAAATCCAAATATTCAATGGTTTATTGATTATTATCATAATACATATGGATCATTTAGTCGAGTTTCATCACATATATATATATAATCATTATTGTAATATAACGCCAAAAATAATTAATTATTTATAAGGTCGATATTCTCGAATGAAAACGTATGTAAATTCTCTACATCCAAATATTTATGTTGTTATTGATTTATTACAAATAGAACAATCATTAGCATCAATTTCAAGATTGTGAGATGGTGTTGAAGTATCAACTCCAGAATGTCGAAAAAAATAAAGTAATAACGGATAAATACTTAATGAAATTATGGCAACATTCTCATGTCGGTCATACTGATATTCCAGCTTTCTTGAAAGATGCTGGTATGAGACATTTTTTTTTTAACTTTAACTCTCATCTCTTCAGTCAAAATGGCACTGAAATCGGGTTACCCCATTGTATCTGTGTCCAAAGGTATCGAGACAATGAGCATTAGATAGTTTGTCCAAGACTATCACGCGACCGCCATTGCCGAGATTCAAACTTCGTATATTTGAAGTACGTTGTCTGCCCACTCGTTGACTGAGTCACACTGCTCAAATGACGAGATATTTTCAATGCCCATCAAAACATTGAACAGACCTCTTTTTACCCTGTCTGGCAGCTATAGCTCGAACAGAGGTTAAGCTATTAGTATATGTGATCTTTTATAAATGTGCCAAGATAAATTTAAATATGCTTTGTCACGCACACTTCTCTATCAATGGTACATTTGATCAAGATGGTTCCTTCACATTTTATGTTCAGTATATTGTGTAGATGTACCCTTTCATCAGACAAAAATTTAACTGATCTGTATTTGTTAAGCTATTTTGGAAATAGCATATTTTTTTCCGTATGTTTTGAAATCTATTTATCTTATGACTCATACGCGCACAGTAAATAATTAAAATAGATATAATGAAAGAGGGCGATCAGGTTTGAGTATGAATCATTATGAAATCTTGAAACAGGGACTGATCTACCCAAGATCTTGTTTCTTAGTGATATTCTTCTTTGGAAAATAAATCTTATTTATTATTTCTCTTCTCGTCAAAAAAATCAATGAAAAGTAAATCCTATCTATACAGGCATAAATTATATTTTTCTTTTCTTTCCTGTGGAAAAAAAAACCTAATTAAAATAGAAAACACTCAACCGAAAATAAATCGTGTAAATTATTTTTGCAATCTTTTTTTTTTTTTGACATTTTATTAAGGGTAGTCTAACACTGTAAATTCCAATATTGAGTTTAACATACTACGATGCAAGATCTCCTATCCTCTAACCAATTGAGACTATTATCAGCACTCCAGGATGAACTATCAAATTTATATGACATTTTCGACATTTACAACAAAAAATTAAAGAAAAACAAAACAAATTCTTTAGATTCATTAACTTTTTTTTATGGTCATTAAACAACTGATGTCCGTTCTAGCCGATAGGACTTTCTTAAACCAGATTACTGAAGCTCTCTAATAAACGAATTATCATACAGTCTGTTTGTAGAACACACTAAGTTTCCAATATATTCAAATTTTCAGACCTGTCAAACAAGTTTTTCATACAATTGCATAGATTTCATCAATTGACTTCTACGCTGTTGTGTTTAACTTGTACAATTCTTGTTAAAGTAAAATTTGTATAATTGTGTAAAAACTTACTCTATACAAGTATTGAAAATTCTACAAACTGCTTGTATCAGAATTTTTGAGTAGTACTCTAGACATCTGGTTTCTGTTGACTCATCTGCTATAAAGAAGACACTTGAAATGATTTCCTCATGAGATGTGACTTCGAATTAAAAAACTTTCAGAATGGGAAAACTTGGGGTTTTTTCTGAAGATTAAAGAAAGGTGTGATTAAAAAAATCCAGTTCAACTGAATAAAGTTAATTGAGTTCGAATGAAAAAGCCTAGGGGGAGAAAACGGATTTGAGAATTTTGAAGATTTCAAAAGATTTGGAGAGATTTTAGAGATTCAAATCAGATTTTATTTGAAGATTTGAAAGATTTGGATTGATTTGCAAATATTTGAATTGATTTAAATTGATTTGAATCAACTTGATTTGAAAGATCTGAAAGATTTGGATTAATTCAAATCAGTATTCTCCCCCTTGGAAAAAGCACGATTATAACTCAAAAACCTGAAACAAAAACGAAAATAGTACCATATTGAGTGCAATTCTTACGAGTTACTTTAATTTTGTTATTTCTTCTTTTTTATTACAAAAAGCCACAAAAATGAGTAGAGGAGTATTTTAACTATTAATTTTAATAAAGTATATCCAATAGGGTGAATTGTAACGAGAATCTTTTTCTTTTTCTTTAAAAAATCGACTTTTCTCCTGTTATAAAACGTCAAAACATATCTTAAAAAGTGATAAAAGATCATTTTTCAAAAGATATATATTCAATGATTTCATCGTACTCTTGGTTCTTTTCTCAAAAAACAAATGTTTTAATATGTATTGCCATCGCTATACCCAAGGTCATTTGTCTTTATTTTCCTTATATATATATATATATATGATTATATATATAGACACACACTGAGAAAAGAAGCCAATTGATTATGCATGTATGTTGAGCTATCATAACTAAAAGATATCTAATAGAGAAGTAATTGTGTTTGAATTCATCATCGGAAAAAAGAAAAAGCGGAAAAGGATGGAATAGAATGATAATCATAAATCATCTTTAACACATATGGAATTTAAAGGCAGAGAACCGGATAAGAAAACAAATACAACAAGAACAAAAAAAAGAAAGTTTTTTTTTTTTTCTTTTTTCTTTTAGTTTTTTATTCATCTCGCTGTCAGCACATAAAAAAATAGAAACACAAATGACTAACACCTGTTCTAGATGACAAACAATAATTGATTCTCTATCTTCTTCTCTCTCTCTCTCTCTCTATTCAGGTGAGGAACAACTGGAAATCATTCAATTATATGTGTACAGTACATATTTTTCGCTCTTATTCATCTAATCTATCATCATATACTATCGAATAATTTAAAACGATCAATTATATATCTATAGAGGGAAAATAAAATAATTGTTATAATATATATATATATATGTAGAGAGAGAGATGTGTTTTTATTTATCGAATTTATTAAGTGTAATAAAATGTTTTTATTAAATATAAATAATGCAATGTTAACATGAACTATTTAACGGTAAATACAATTGAATGGCGTCATTTAACATTAGCCATTATTCTATTTTGTCTATGTATAATGACAATATTTGGTAATTTATTAGTTATAAAAGCTGTATTTCATGAAAATCAATTACATTCTTCTACTTATTATTATGTTGTATCATTAGCATTTGCTGATTTACTTGTGGGATGTATTGTTATACCATTTGCACTTACTTTTGAAATTACAAATGGTTATTGGATACTTGGACGATTAATGTGTGATTTTTGGCATGCCATGGATATATTTGCATCAACAGCATCTATTCTAGCATTATGTGTTATTGCATTAGATCGATATATTGCCATAACAAATCCAATATTATATCCAAATTCATTAATATCAAGAAAATGGAATTATATGATTTTTGCTATTTGGACATGTTCAGCGATACTCTCATTTCCAACAATTGCCTATTGGGGATCAACTAAAAAAACAGTCATAGGTATGAAAAATTATTGTTATTTAAATATTTTTATTTCTTTTTTTGTTAATGTTTTTTTTTTAGTATCTACAACTCCATCTTTATCATTCAATAAACTTCTAGATAATACTTCAAAATTACTAACTAGTAGTAGTAGTAGTAGTAGTAGTCGCTGTGATTTTCCGTCAGATCCCTATTATATATTATTTTCATCGATGGTTTCATTTTATTTACCATTATTTGTTATGGTATTTGTTTATGCACGAATATTTTGTGAAGCAAATCGACAAATGCTTGCACTTCGTTCCGGTTTTAAATCTATGAACAATAGTCTAATCAATTATAAATCAACATCAACAATAATACCAAAATTTAGTTTAAAACAAACAGTAGTACGAAAAGAAAATTCTGATAAAAATAATAATAATACAAAACCAATAATATCATTAATACAGGAGAATGATGATGAATTATATGAAAATTACAATTTAGTTGAACAACAACAACAACAACAACAATCACAGCAAAAATCATCTGAAATATTGACACTTCGAATACATCGTGGAAAATATCAGCCACAAAAACCAATACAATTATCATCGTCATCATCATCATCAACAACTATTAATATTCATTCTAGACCCATTCGAGAACATCATTCTCATATATTTTCAAATTTAATATTAAATCGTTTTATACGTACACCAAAAAATCTTGGTAAAAAATTTTCTAAATTTTCTCGTGAACAAAAAGCAGCAAAAGTATTAGGAATTGTTATGGGTGTATTTGTTGCATGTTGGCTACCATTTTTTGCTTATTTAGTATTAAGTGGCGTATTTCTTATTCGTTCATCAAATCACGAATTATTATTTAAAATATTTACATGGTTAGGTTATACAAATTCAGCTTTAAATTTTTTACTTTATGCTTTAACATCTCGTGAATTTCGTCAAGCATTTATTAAATTATTATGTAAACAACGATTTCAACGTAAACAACAGAGACGTCTTGATATTAAACGATTAAAATGGAATATTAATAGTGCAAATCCAGCTTATTTATCAGCATCAACCATTATTAATCTACAACCTAATCACCAACTGCGATAATAAATACATTGTTTTGTTTTTTGTTGTAAATAATAAAAAAAGAAAAATAATATTTATAAAAACAAAATTTTTACGGTTACTAACTAAATCACACGTAAAAATGTGTGCTTAATACAAGGATAGTCTAATTAAGAGCAAGTTTTTTTACTTTAGAGGAATGATGCAGAGATCCTTGAACTCTAGTGAATGATCTAACTCCAAGATACGAGAATAATTAATTAGGTATCGTCGATAATGTCATAAACATCGGAGAAATTTTTATTTAATTGGCTAAATTAGTACTCTTTAGGTTTCCAAGTACTTGAGGTATGCTGCTGTCATACTTTTATATATTCAAGGTGATTTTTGAATCGACTGTCTGCCAGTGTCGCGATAGAGCAGGGATGGCAGATTACAAAAAATGAAGTATACATTTTTTTGTTTAATACTAGGTTAATTATGTCCTTTCTAAATACGAGATGTCTTATTAGCGATGTATGCATGTATTTCACGTATTTTATAACAAATTCAATTATATTCACATTTACATCAAAATAAACAACGTGGATTTCCACTAAAAAATATTTAGTTTTTGAGATCAATATATGCGCCCAATTATTTTGTAAAAGTTATATCCATCGCTCTGAATCTTATGATAATGTCTGTTCTCCATTTGAAATTTTAAAAATCTGATGAAAACTTACTCTCGATAAAATTTTATTTTAAACTACATTTTAAACTATTTACATGCAAAATCGAAAATTTGTCTCTCATTCAAAGTCGGTTGAAAATATTTTAAACTTTTAAAATATACTTGATTTTTGCTGCTTTATCTGATGCTCCTGTTCAGAGTATGAAAAGAACCTATGCTATGTGTAGTTCTAATGATTTTTAGAAAACTCTTCAAGACATAAAATATATTCTGTGAGTTTTAAGGTAGTTGTAAGGTTTTAAGAAGGTATGCCACCGCTAAAATAAAGTATATTTTAAAATTCTTGAGTATTTTTAACCGATTTTGAGTGAGATATGAATTTTTCGGTTTTTCATGAAAATAGTTTAAAATGAGTTATTTCGTCCAAAATAGATTTTGACAGATTTTTAAAATTTTAAATGGAAACAGACATTGTCGTGAATAGAAGGGGCCGCATAAGGTTGATAATCGACCTACTTCCTTTTTTGTCTAGAACTGATTCTGTAAATCGTAAAACATCAGTTGGTTTTAAGTGATTTCGCGTACTTTTGGTAACCAAAATCCGCGTACTTCTTCATCGATAGCTCACTCAAAGACCAACTATAGATTACGCAAAATGTAGTTTTCTCATGTTTCTTTCAGGTAGAGTACAAAGTAAATATATCATTGGATAGCCGCTAAACTTTTACAGAACGTGTGTAACATACAAGGGGGAAACAGCAGATTTTGTGACGTTTGTAATCTGGGCTCCGTCCACAGGCAATCAATTTTTTTCAAATTTTATTGTACCCCTGAGCCTCCTTGGTATTCTTCGTGACTTCGCTGAACCGGAACAATTTTCCTGACTGTTGTTGAATTTTCCCGCGTTTTTTTCGCTTAGCTTCATTTTCAGTCATTTTTACAGATTTTCGGGATTTCATCGAAATCTAATCTGTTTCTCCGATTTTTTCTTGTACCCAGGGATTTCTCGAACTTTGAGAAGTTTCAATACGACTTTCCAGGCTTCTTAGGCTCGTTGACGGATCACATATCTCACCACTAGCAAGATAGCTGAGCAAGGTATTCCTACCATCAGTGATAAGAACTTTGCCCGTGTTGAGCACGGTTGCAGTATGACAGGCACGTACTGTTGCCATGCTTGCAGTAAGATTCCACTGACCTTAAGGGAAAAAGATTACAGCAGGAATTATAGTATTCTACCTGTGGTAGTGGTGGTATAAACCAACTTCAATTCAAAGGTCACTCCATTGATCTGAGAGGCTGGCAAATAGTAACTCCTTAGGAATTCGATAAAAGTCACGTACTGTCAACTTATTGCTTATGCTGCTTGCTGTGTCTCATTACTGATGACGAATTCTAGTTCTGTCCGTCAGGTAAGGTTCGGTTGAGTCGTCTTCTCTATAGATCGTAACCTCTGGGTCGGGTGAGGTTGGGTTGCCGTGTGTGTCTAGTAGTGTCTGACTACTGTTTAATAGGTCTGTATCTCTAGGTCGGGTAAGGTTAGGTTGCCATGTCTGTAGTCAATATTTATCAGTAAATGTGTGAGCCGGGTGAGGTTGGGTTGTCTGTGTTTCTAGTAGTGTCTGACTACTGTTTAACCGGTCTATATCTCCGGGTCGGGTAAGGTTGGGTTATGATGTCTGTAGTTAACATATATTTCCATGAAATTCTGGGTTGGGTTAGGTTGAGTTGTCATGTGTGTCTTACATTGTTTCACTAGTGATCATTAGTTCTGTATCTCTAAATTTGGAATGTACGTTATGTTTGTGTATGACTTTGTTCAGTTTTGTGAAAAATTAATTTTCTCACAGATACCAGTGTTTTATCGCGTATTTCTGATTAGCTACTTTTCCACACTAGTTAAGCTTAGTATTAAATTATTGTATGTTATCAGACAGAACATGTTTTGAAGTATATATAGCGCTATTTCAATCGATGACAGGTCGGCTTTCGTTTTTTCATGTCCGCCTGGATACACACTGTGCGAGAGATGTAGAACTGATGACCAGTAGTGAGACACGCCATGTCTGGGCATGTGTGTTGCTATTGGTTTTATGGTCCACTAAGCGGCTTCAATGTTCTATCTGATGCAATAAAATAATTTGATAAATTAGCGATAAAACACTGGTATCTGTGTGAAACTTAATTTTTGAAAGTAATTTTTGACAAAACTGAACAAAGTCATACACAAACACAATATATATTCCAGATCTGCACACCGTCCGCTATCTATCTGTGAGAATATTTCTTAATTTGGATTGATGAGTTTCGAGGAACAGCATAAAAGTTTTTTCTAACTGATTTTCCGAAGGGCCATGTTTAGTGGAATGAGGCCGCGAAAGTTAGCGAAGGTCGAAACGTTGCCAAAATTATTCTCTATCTACACTTTCCCATCCCTGTTACTGCAAGCATTCCCGGACTGCACAGTGGATTTTCTCAAAAGCCTCGCTTTTTCCGCTGTTTCCCAATTTACTCGGCTCAGAAGCACTTTATTTTCACATTGCAAGACACACATGCTAACCCAACCTGACCTAACCCACTCATATACAGTTGTTGCTCACTAGTAAGACAGTGCAAGACACACATGACAGCTCAATCCAACCCTACCCTGAGATTTAGTGATATATGTTGACTACAGATAGGATAACCCAACCTAACCCAACCCACACATATACAGTTGTTGATCACTAGTAAGACGGTGCAAGACACACATGACAAATCAACCCAACCCGACCCTGAGATTTAGTGATATATGTTGGCTACAGATAGGATAACCCAACCTAACCCAACCCACACATATACAGTTGTTGATCACTAGTAAGACAGTGGAAGACACACATGACAACTCAACCCAACTCGGAGATTTAGTGATATATCTTGTCTATAGATAGGATAACCCAACCTGACCCAACCCACACATATACAGTTGTTGATCACTAGTAAGACAGTGGAAGACACACATGACAACTCAATCCAACCCGACCCTGAGATTTAGTGATATATGTTGGCTACATACATGATAACCCAACCTGACCCAACCACACATATACAGTTGTTGATCACTAGTAACACACTGCAAGACACACATGACAGCTCAACGTAACTCGGAGATTTAGTGATATATGTTGTCTACAGATAGGACAACCCAACCTAACCCGACCCACTCATATACAGTTGTTGATCACTAGTAAGACGGTGGAAGACACACATGAGAACTCAATCCAACCCGACCCTGAGATTTAGTGATATATGTTGGCTACATACATGATAACCCAACCTGACCCAACCCACACATATACAGTTGTTGATCGCTAGTAAGACAGTGGAAGACACACATGACAACTCAACCCAACTCGGAGATTTAGTGATATATGTTGTCTACAGATAGGACAACCCAACCTAACCCGACCCAGAGATGTAGCGATGTTGATCACTAGCGAAACACACCTACATAGACATGACGACTTAACCTAACCCGCACGCTATAAGGGGCTGAGACGTTCTTGGAACTGATAAGTGCCTTCCTGTTGTCAAAACTCTTAAGGAGTCACTATTTGCCATCCTCTGATTGATCTTCACCCATGCAGCTTCAAAAGCTAAGACTTAACTGTTTAAAGATAATAAATAAAACTCATTACTCGTTATTATTGTTCAACTAGCCACCGTTGATGAGTAATTTAAGTAATTTCGCGTACTTTTGGTAACTAAAATCCGCGTACTTCTTCATCAATAGCTCAGTCCTCAAAGATCAGCTATAGATTACCTAAAATGTATTTTTCTCATGTTTCTTTCAGGTAGGCCACAAAGTAAATATATCACTGGATAACCCCTCAAATTTTACAGAGCGTGTGTAACATAACACTTAATCGCAGTGCTTTTATAGCAGTAGGGCGCTTAGAATAATCCTTCGTATACAATATAGTAGACAGTCTTTACTTGTACAGCCTCTTTTCCTAGCAAATAAGAAAACATACATCTTCCAATAGAAAAAGAAATTAGTACAAATTGGTAATTTCGGTTCAAGATCGATGAGATCAGAAGTAAACCGACTGGAGAAAACTGTGACATACTTCCAGTTTTTACTATTTCTTACACTAGTAAAGAAGCAAATACATTTTGTGTCATATACCATTTTAAAGCTCGTCGAATTTCCTACAAATTATGCTATGTACGATATCTTGATCAATAGGTTCAGTCTCTGTAGTTCAGGCATGGTATCAGTTTTGCAGGGAGTTCCAAGACTGATATAAAGTGACCTCTGATAACCTCTAAAGTAAATGAAAACATCGATTATCCATCCTACTAAATTTATTTTGCATATATTTCGAAC